GGGAGGTATTGGACACCCTCTTGAGATCAGTCCAACCCTACATTTCTCTGATTTTATGAGGCTGTAATATACTCTCAGTTTTGTGCACTTCTCTGCCTTTTCACAGACTCCTCATTAAAAGATGACTGACTGAAGAACAAAAACTGTTTTTTGGCGGTGTTAAAAAATGAACTTTCCACATGAGCCCATGAAATTTTAGTCGCAAAACAGATTAGAGTGGAAATTCTATGACAACTTGGAAAAATCTCTTCAGTGCAAATCTGTAAGAGTAAGTTATCACCATATCCTGGAGCATCTAATACAGGCTAGCACTTGTTAACAGATGCATACTTTCTGCTTGTTGACCACTTACTGGATTAAATGATGCATCAGCTACACAATTAATGTCTAAAAAGTGCTTTGAGATCTTTGGATGAGAAGGTGCTGTAAAACTACGAAGTATTATATCAGAAAGGAAATTAAGAATACAGCCGTGATATATTAAGGATATTATCTGAGTTTATACAAGCAAGGACACTTTTAACCTAGGGAGAAATTCTGGGCCAGATCATGCCCCTGAAATCCATGCGTGGTGATGGGTTCCAACTGCACATCCTCCACAACATAAATGAAAGGTGGGGCATCAGTCACCTCCACTATGTGCTGTTTCACCACTTCCCAGGAGCCCTAGAATAGTCCTGGGAGAGGGGGTCTGAGATCAATGTGGTGGCTGGTCTGTATACACACCCTTTCCCTCTCCTCCCCACTTTCTACTCCTCAAACCCCATGGAGAAAACTTAATACAGTCCCTGCTTTATTATATAGTCAAAGAAGGTATTCCAGATGCTGCTGTCAGCAGAGGAAGCAAGCAGAGCTTCACTGTCAGTGAGTGAGGAAAAACCACAGAAGAGGCCTTGAAGCTGGTGTGAAGGCATCAGGCCTCCTCCACACAGACGACTCTGGTTTCCTAAGTGATCCACAGTGTTGGCTGGCCAAAATTACTGCATTTCTCTTGGTGATGGGCGGGGAAATCTTGCTTCTTTCCCTAACAGAACAATGTGAGAAAGTTCAGCAAGTTTCCTTCTCCAGGGCCCAATCCTTAATTTATAGGGCTGTCAATTAATTGCAGTTAACTTACACAATTAACTCAAAAAATTAATTGCGATAAAAAAGCAATCACAATTAATCACAGTTTTAATCACACTGTTAAACAATAGAATACCAATTGAAATTTGTTACATGTTTTGGATGTTTTTCTACATTTTCATATGTATTGTAGTCGGTGTTGTAATTGAAATCAAAGTGTATATTTTTTATTACAAATATTTGCAGTTTAAAAATGATAAACAAGTACTGTAGTGTGATCTCTTTATTGGGAAAGTGCAACTTACAATTGTAGTTTTGTTGTTGTTACATAACTGCACCCAAAAACAAAACAATGTAAAACTTCAGAACCTACAAGTCCACTCAGTCCTACTTCTTGTTCAGCCAATCACTAAGACAAACAAGTTTGTTTATATTTACAGAGATCACAGAATATACAAGCTGATCACAGAATATCAGGGTTGGAAGGGACCTGAGGAGGTCATCTAGTCCAACCCCCTGCTCAAAGCAGGACCAATCCCCAGCCAGATTTTTGCCCCAGATCCCTAGATGGTCCCCTGCAGGACTGAACTCACAACCTGGGGTTTAGCAAACCAATGCTCAAACCACTGAGCTACCCCTCCCCCCTGCCCTCTTCTTATTTACAATGTCACCAGAAAGTGAGAACAGGTGTTTGCATGGCACTTTAAGCCAGCATTGCAAGGTATTTATGTGCCAAATATGGTAAACATTCATATGCCCCTTCATTCTTCGGCCACCATTCCAGAGGACATGCTTCCATGCTGATGATGCACCTTTATACGAGAGCGGATATCTGGCTAGCCGGCCACACCTGTGTGCTGATCACTGTTTGGTTG